CAGGTACCGATTTAAAAAAGTTGTCTTGACGTCCATCTGAAACAGTGTAAATCCCAGAATGCATGCAACAGATAGCAGAATTCTGATTGACTCTAGTCTAGCCACAGGAGCAAATGTCTCATCATAGTCAATTCCTTCTATTTGAGTGTACCCTTGTGCCACTAATCGAGCTTTGTTCCTTGCAATATTTCCAGCTTCATCAGTTTTGTTTTTGAAGATCCACTTTGTTCCAATTATGTTGACACCATCAGGTCTTGAAACTAGATCCCAAACATGATTTCGATCAAACTGATGTAGCTCCTCCTGCATTGCCTTGATCCACAGATCATCCTGTAAAGCTTCTTTTACATTCTTGGGTTCTATGTTGAGGTATAGCAAGCAGACCCAGATATTTCTATCAGATTATTTCTTATTCTGCTCCTGGTCTTCATCCCATCTGTTGGATCACCAATGATGTTATATGATGGGTGACTTTTCTGAGTTCTGGTGGGTTTGTCTTTACCTGTACCATTTATGAGAGTTGTCTCCTGTTCCGAACTTTCTTGATCTTCATATGAGGATTCTTGTGATTTGGGCTGACTGTTGCTGTCTGCAGTATTTAGTTCACTGAGAGGAAGCTTTGTCACTGGATCTGTCACTGTTGTGTCTACTGATTCTTCTGGACAGTCATCTATAACCACCTTTACTGATTCCATCACAGATTGAGTTCTCTTGTTGTAGACTCTGTAGGCACGACTGTTTGGAGAGTATCCAAGGAAGATGCTCTCATCACTCTTAGGTTCAAACTTCCCTCTTTGTTCTTTATCAGCCAGCACATAACACTTTGTCCCGAACACATGAAAATACTTCAGGTTTGGCTTCTTTCCCTTCCAGATCTCATATGATGTTTTGGTCGTTCCTGGTCTAAGATAGACCCTATTTACAGTATGACAGGCTGTGTGTACTGCTTCAGCCCAGTAGCACTGCGGCAGATGAGAGGCATGTAGCATAACTCTAGCCATTTCTTGTAATGTTCGATTCTTTCTTTCCACCACACCATTCTGTTGAGCAGTTCTAGGAGCTGAGAACTCGTGTGATATACCATGCTCGGAGCAGAAATATGAATATAGTGAATTCTCAAATTCTTTTCCATGATCACTTCTCAGTCTCTGAACTTTTATTATAGACTCATTCTTTTCCTTCTGAACCCTTATGCACAGAGTTTTAAAGGCCTTGAATGCTTCTGATTTTTCTCTTAGAAAGTACACCCAGCTGTATCGAGGGAAATCATCTACACACACAAATTTGTATTTCTTTCCCCTAATGCTTTCAGTCTGTGTTGGCCCCATGAGGTCTATGTGAACAAGATCAAGACACTTCTCAGTGGTGATACCTCTTACTGCTTTCTGCGGAGTTCTGATTTGTTTCCCAATGGCACATGCACCACAAACTTTTTCCAGATCTATTCTGATCTTAGGTACTCCTTTCACAACTTCCAATTTTATCAGCTTATCCATATCTCTGAAGTTTACGTGACCCAGTCGTCTATGCCAGAGTTTTGATTCATCAGATTTGGATAGGTGACATGCAGTTTCATTTGCCAAAACATAACAATTGTCTGAGGACCGGGTTCCTTCCATGACAAGTTGATTTGCTTTGTCACTAACTCTGCAGCAGTTACGATCGAAGCACACATTCCAATTTTGATCACACAGCTGCCTGATGCTAATCAGATTAGCTTTCAACCCACTGACTAACAGAACTTCTTCTAATTGAGGCAAACCTGGTGCATTCAAAGTACCTTTCCCAACTATTTTCCCTTTTTGTCCATCTCCATATGTTACAGCTCCACTGCTTGGTTGAACAGCCATCAGACACTTTACATTTCCAGTCATATGTCTGGAACAGCCACTATCGAAATACCATCTAGCTTCAGTTGTAGACGCAGTCAGAACTATAGTGGGGTAGCATATAACTTCTGACTTTCTGACCAAACCTGTCTAGTAAACGGTGTAATAGTCTTGTTCTGATATTTTTCCTTCCTTTGATCTCTGTAGAAAAAATAACATTCAGGTCGAGTATGACCTTTTGTTTGACAGTAGTGACAAATGGGAGTGTAATGTCTAACTTTGACAAGCTTATTTTTGAACCTTGAATAATGAGATTGATGGGTTACTTTGGCAAGGTCAGTATCTGCAGTCTGGTCATATCTTTTTCTCTTGTCAATTTTCTGCACTGATCGAGATGACTGTCCTTGTTCAAAGCTGTGAACTGCTGTGGTCTTAAACATACCCTCTTTGACAAACATAGGTGCATTATTCGAAGATTCACCTCGTTCAAATCCTAGACCTGTTTTGTCATTAGGATTTCTACTAGAGTTTAGAATCTTGTCTAAGGTTGATGTCGTGTCCATCATCTGGATATTTTTCTTCAGACCCTCCAGTTCCTTTATCAGTTTTCTTTCTCTGGATCTTATCTGAGTGATGAGATCTTCTTTTATGACAAGGTCTGTATTCAGTTTTTTTAGAAGATCATCCCTTTTCTTCAGTTCATCATTCAGATTTTTATTGACTTTCACAAGTTGTTCCCAACTTGCAACAAGTTTAGCAAATTCTATCTCAAGTTGAGTATGGCTCTCTTCAAAATCATCAGTTGATATGTAAGATTCTTCATCTGATTGGTTTCCGTCTGACTGAATGTCTGTAGCTGTAAAGAAGGCTACAAAGTTTCCCACATTGTCATCTGGCTGATCATTGGATGTTTCCTCCTCATCATCGCTTAATGTAGCTACTGACATAGCCTTTTTTCTCTTGAGATACGTTGCACATTCAACCTGTATGTGTCCATACCCTTCACATTCTCTACACTACACTGACCGGTTGAGGGACTTCCCTGTATCTGTGGAACTGTTTCTGTTCTGTCTTGTTCGACCAGTCTGAGATTGATTGTTCTGTGAAAAAAGGAGTTGTTTCGGCTTTCTGATATGAGGAGTTATTGCCTTTGTATTGTGTCCTGGTGGGCTGACCTTGACTCTTTCTGTTGAAACCTTTTAATATTTTCTTGAAATTCTTGGTTAGAAGTGCCAAGGTTTCATCATCTATGTCGTCTGTGCCAGATTCTCGATCAGCCTCAGCTACAAAAGCCACTGACTTTCTTTTTCTGTTGCTTGCAAGATCATCATCGGCAAGCACTTCCAGTTCATATGTGTGTAAGCTTCCCATAAGTTCTCCGGCAGTCTTCTTTTCCCAACCTGTGTGTTCCTGAATAGCAGTTACTTTCATCCGGAAGCATTTAGGCAAAGATCGAAGGATCTTTTTGACTACTCTCTCATCAGTGAATGGTTCACCAAGAATTGAGGCTCTGTTCATCAGATTCTGAACCCGACTGTGAAAGGTCGAAATGGTTTCCTCTTCATTCATTCTAAGGGCTTCAAATTCTGACAGAACCATTTGTAGCTTTGACTGCTTGACATCACTAGTTCCCTCAAATCTGGTTTCAAGAATTTCCCATACACGTTTAGCTTCTTTTACCCCGGTGACAAGAGTAAAAACAGATTCATGCAGAGATCCTACAATCGAGTTCAAAGCTTTGTTGTTTAGATCAGAGGCATTCATTTCATCGTCTGTCCAAGTCTCCATGGGCTTATCTCTAGTGGTTCTATCCTCATTCTGAACAGTTGGACAGCTCCACCCAGTTAGGATAGTACGATAAACCCTGGTACCTTGTGCTTGGAGATATATCTCCATGCGAGCCTTCCAGAATGAGTAGTTGTGACCATCTAGTTCTGGTGGTTTCATACTTGCATCCATCCTGAACAAAAACAACCAGCCAACGAACACACACAGATGCACTTCCAAAAGACAGAGAACAATGCAAAACTAAAACAACTGATACGGATCAAGTCACTATGTAGACTTAAAAGCTCTAATACCACATGTAATTTTGCATTTTATCTTTTTTAAACAGATTAACTGGATTAATCAACTGACGAAATGGACTGACTAATTCAGCGATGAAGTCAGTCAGTAATGACAAATCATAGAGAGGGTTAAAGAAAAGATAACATCACAAAGCCAACGACACAGAATGTTTACCCAGTTCGATACAATGTGTATCTACGTCTGGGGGACGATCACATAGGCGTCCAATCCACTAAATCATAATCCAATGTACAAAGGTTGATATACAATAATCTTACCCAAGTGCCCCACACAAGGTACATACCCAGTCTACACAGGTTTAGTGGATTGTTGAAGACGGAGAGCCATGCATACAGAAGTCCAATGAAATCCCTTCACTTGGAGAGCCCAATCTGATGCAGTCCACTTCAATGACGCTCTTTACAGTTGTTCCCACAATAGTGTGATCACAGTGTCCTTTCGTTTAAGCAGCAGTGATTCTTCTCAAGTTCGTCATCTTAATCACCATGAACATGTTATATTGAGAAGAGGTAAGGTAATCAAAGATCTGATCTCATCAAACTGATGTGGAGTGTTTCTTCTCTCTCAAGGCGTAACACTAATTCTCTTTGAATGCGGATACTTATAGATCCGTCGATAGAACACTCCTTCCATAGATGTCTTTGATTGTAGATGGTAGGACAATATTTGAAGAATGTAATCTTAAAGATTCGGTCCATACCTTTCCAAAGCAGATACGCTGATCTTCCTTCCAAATCTGTCTTCTGTAAACCGCGTACAACTTTTAAGAAAACAGCTTCTTAAATCAGATCTTCAGTGTCAGTCCTTCTGTTGTTGTTTCTGATTGATCAGTCTTCTGTAAAGCTGAACGGACACTAAGCTAAACCTATCTTAGTATTCCATAATAATATTGCCAATTATACGATGGGGTTTTTGAAAAATTAAAAACACTAACAAATGTAATTATAATAAGGGAATGACTAATTATTCTCCTAATTACCAATTACACATAAATACTAATTATTTTCCTAATTACATATATAAGGTAATATACATTATTCTTGCTTCAAGATCAATGCCCACCAATGGCGTATCAAACACCTCTAAGAGAGCTAAATTATGGAGTGTTTAGTGGTCTTGGTCATTTGGACAAACAAAGGCAAAAGTGGAGCAAAAGAGCAAGAAGTTGAAATTCCCGCACAAATCGTCCACTGCTCGGTATTTTGGCCATATCTCTGCGTAGGAGTCTCCAAATTAAGTGTTTTTTATGTCATTAGAAATCTAGCTTGATGGACTACAACTTTGATGTGGACCACAAAGGCTAATTCAAATGATTTGAGGGTGAAAATATGCCTAGAAGATGGACACAGTGCACAGAAACTCTGCCTTGTGGCCACGGGTGTGGCCACGGGTGTGGCCAAGGGCGTGGCCACTGGGCAGTGAGCCTTCATTTCTGGCCATGGGTGTGGCCAAGGGCGTGGCCACACGCGTGGCCAGCCTCTGCACTTTTTGGCAGCGCGTTTTTTACCCTTTTAAGGGGATTTTTCCACCCCAAAACACATCATTCATTTTATCTTTCATTTCCTTTTCATTCCTTAGTTAGGTTTAGCTCTAGTATAGCATAGATTAGTGTAGATTTCTTGTTCCTTTCCATTTCCAAGCTCAAGAACATTGCAAATCTTGGATTTCAAAGCTTCAATAGAGAAGTTTTCTTATTATCTCTTCTATTTACTTTTTCATCTATGTTTTCGATTACTCTTTTAATATTGTGTATCTATTGTTATATTATTAGTAGCTAAGTGTTTTGGGACTAGGATTTGGTTTGATTTCTTGCGATTGATGTCTATTTGAGTTGTATTGCATAAGGGGGATTATTTGGGTGATCTAGGGTTGTTGTGTGAATTGGGTTTGTTGAGAAATTTGTGTATGATTGTTGGATCCCAATTGTATGCTTCATTTGGAGTGTGTTTGTTGCTACGAGAGTAGAGCTTGTACACTAGCCACACATTCACACACTTAATGCCCAATACGAGAGTATTTCGGGTGTTAAGGAGAATTTTTGCCTTGTGTTCTTGTTTGGGCATCCTTGGGTTGAATTACCACGAGAGTGGAGTTTAATTGGAGGTTGCAAGTCCAAATAGCTACGAGAGTGGTATTTGGACACTTTTGTGCATCTCACTTACCCTATGCCTTGTTTAATTCCGTAATCTTAGTGTAATATTTGGCATCTTAGCTTGAATCAACCAAGTCCCAGTCATTTGTTTTACTTGTCTTATTTGTTATTAGCCTAATCTTATCAAACCAACTCATTAAGGATATGTCTAGCTTCTATAAGGATAGTTTTAGCTTGTGCTTAACTCCGCTTTGCATCAATTCCTAACATTACGAGAGCCATCTCCAGTGGAACGATATCTAAACTCTATACTGTGATTTGATACTTGATGGATGTGTGAAAAACGTCTTCATCAAATTTGGCGCCGTTGCCGGGGATGGATTGGTTTTGATTGTTTTGTGGTAGTTAACATTGGCGAATGACTTTTCTAGGAGACTAGCCCATTTTTTTCAGTTGTTTTTTTTTTCTTTTTATTTGCCTTTTGTGCTCAAGTGCTATTTGTTCAATCTTGTTTGGAATTTTCGGATGAAGATACCTTGCTTGGTGCTTTTATTCTAGATCAAGGAGTTGTTTGGTACCCCATCCACCCAAAGAAGAACTTTCAATATGTATGGGTATGAGTATCAAGGATCCTTACCACCATTCCAATTTCCTTCCAATAGATACGAAATGAATTGGAATATGAGTCAAACATATGGAGTAATGGAACAACAAGAACCACATCCCAATATTTCCTACATGAATCAAGAAGCTTTTCAAGTAGGCACACCATCATTTACTATGCCACAACCTTTATGCTGTACCATATTGCCTCCTAACTACCAACATTTGTGCCAATTTCAAGAGTCATCTTACCAAGAGCCTCACAAGGATATCAATCCCTTAATCAAGAGCCCGAGATGATGTCCAAGTTGATGAGTTTGATAATGCAAACGTCTTCACGAGTGGATAAGTTACAAACTCAATCGGAAAACATGATGGCTCAAGTACAAAGTTAGGCAACTCAAGAGCCGATTTAAGATTCATTGTCCAATGAAGAGGTTCAACAAGAGTTTCCCTTATCTAATGAAGGGGATGAGATTGATGGAGATGAGGATGTAAGGGGAAATCTTGAAAATGAAGTGCTTGAGGAGTGTCTTGAATCCAACCATTTGAATGGGAAAGAAGACAAGATTGAGACTCAAATTGAGATTCAAGATGATGGTGGCAAGGAATTTTTGCAAAGCACCCCGTTTGAAGAAGAAGTTAATGAGAGTGAAGTTGATAACATGCACGGTGAATTTGATGAATGTTCTCCAATGAATGATACTCTCATTAGTGAAGACTTTAGAAGAGTGTGGGAACCGGGAGGAGTTGATGTTCTTGAAAGTTAGAGGCCCGCATTGGCCTATATTTGAATCAAAGGATTCTCACTTCTTATTGGTGCATGAGAAAGATTCAAGACTCTCCTTATTTGCAAATGAAAAGGAAAGTCAAGAAGAGAAAAAAAAGTGGAGACCAAGGAAATGATCAAGCTCTTGAGTATGATCAAGACCCAATCTTTGGGAAGAAGACCTCATTTGATTTATGGATCAAAAATAGATTTGAGGAAGGGATATTCTTGGAGTTTGATTTGGAGGAGCTTAGTATCTTAAACTTTCAAGTAGTGAAGATGAGCTTAAGGGAATTTATTGATGGCCACCACTTGAAGAAATACCTAGAAGAAAAGGTTGATAGAAAGATGGGAATTTTTCTCCTCCAATCCATTGATGGTTGAACACTTGAGAGGTTGAGTCGAGCTAGCAACGTTAAACTTAGCGCTTCATGGGAGGCACCCCATGTTATATATCTTTCACTTTATTGCATTTTATCTTATTTTTTTCTTTATATTTTGAATTTTGATTTATTATGCTTTCACTTGTGCTTTCATGTGTATATTCCATTGAATCTAGGAGTGACACTAAGGAGTATGCTCAATTCCAAGAAGGCTTCATGATGATTCTTTGGAACAAGAAGATTCATTAGGGGAGTCTCATCTACCTTCTCTACTTTCTTTAAATGTGTATAGTGCTTTACTTAATATAGATAATAGAGATTGTGCTCCTTGTGCTTATTGTGCCACCATTCCCCCCCCCCCCCCCCCCCCTCGTGCTTTATTTTCTTTTACATCGAGGACGATGTCGCCTTTAAGTGTGGGGGAGGGGATAATTTGGGTGTTTTCTAAAAAAAATGAACTTTTTGAAACCTTGCTTGGATGACTCATTGTGCTTTGTGTTGAATAAATTGCCTTTATATACTTGAATTTGTGATTACTCCCCTTTGTTGGTTTGTGGTTTGCTTGGTGGAACTTGTTACCATGCAACTTGTGATCGATGAGTCAAGGTGTAACACATGATTGATCTATTCCCTTGCCAATGACCTTGTTAACCACTTAATAATTGAATAAATTCTTGATCTTGTGTGTTGTGCATTGCTAGTGAAAGCTTATGTGAGATTCCAGTAATGGTTGTTTTGCTAGAACTTGCCTCATTACTCTCCAAGTGAAATCGAAGATTTGCATGTTTTGAAATGATTTAGGCCATTTTTGTTTAGCCCAAGCCTTTAAGCCTATCGTTGTACACATAAGTTCGCTCTACACGAGATATACTTCTCACACAATCTCACACACACTTTATGTTTATTTATTTCCGCTGTGCACCATACTCTAACAATCTAGTTAAGAGTTTTGGTTTATCTCTGGCTTAGCAATTGTTGTGCTGTGCGAAAAAGTTTGAAAGTCTATTCACCCCCCCCCCCCCACTAGACTTTCACCTTACCTCTTTTGGGACCAACAATTGGTATCAGAGCCTGTAGCCTATTTGAGTCAGTTTGTACCAATCTTTGGTATTTAAACACGTTGCCCAACTGGGTTAACTATTTTGGACTGCTAGGCTGATCCATTCTACAAAGTGTGTGAATTGGATTAATCTTTCATATCTCTCGTAATGATGATGAAGAAAGATTTAGCTCAAAATCTATTATTCTCACTTGATAAATTTGATGATTGGAAAGTTCGTATGCAGGTACACTTATCGGCTTTACACGATGAAATGTGGGAAGTTATTTCTACTGGCCCTATAGAAATATTAAAAATCAATACGGCGTTTGTCCTATCCCCGGATGCTCCACAGTACGTACAAAACCCAAAATCGGAATGGACATCGGACGATAGAACGCGGAATAATCTTGACAATATTGCCAAGGATATTCTATTCAAAGCCGTTGATGATACAATATTTCCGAAGATCCGAAAGTGTGCCACTGCCAAAGAAATATGGGAAACTCTCATCAAGATTGGCGAAGGAGATGAACAAGAAAAAGACAATAAGCTCACAATCGCCATGAAGAAGTTTGAAGATTTCAAAATGCTCTCAAATGAAAGTGTTGCAGACATGGAAGCTCGAATGATCAAAATTCTTGGAGAGATTAGTGATCTTGGCAAAAATATTAGCCAAAAAGAAATTAATCTCAAAATCCTACGAGGCTTACCATCTGCATGGGATATGAAGGTTACGGCTATGCGCGATCACCGAGATCTAAGAATGTTGTCAACAGACAAATTATTTAGTGATCTAAACGCATATGAGTTGATTTAGTGATCCGTTAATTCTTCTTTTTCTCGTGAATCTACTGACAATCTAATGCAAGAATGTCAAGAGATTATGCTCACTCATCCTCAACTCAAGGAGCGCAATAATATTCTAATTCTTGAAAAAGAAGAAATGAATAAAAAATTGCAAGATGCTTTACTTGAAGTGAGTAAATTGAAGAATGAAAATATTCATCTTCAAGAAGAGTGTAAAGCAAGAGAGGTTAGAGAACATAATCTTAGAGCTACTATTGCTACGTTCACTAATTCGTCTAAAATAATAGATAAAATGGTGAGCATGCAAAAGCCATCAGGAGATAGAACCGGAATTGGTTATGACTCCACATGTTCTCAAACCCCTCAAAATCTGACTAATTCTACTACTACTTTAAATAATAAAGTTCAAGTGGTAAAATTTGTTAAAAGTCAGAATAGCACGATGAGACAAGGACTTGGCTATCAATCAAACGCAAAGTTGAATGTTGAAAGGCCGAAACAAGTTTATACTACGGCAAAGCAACAAAAATTCTACAAGCAAAGATATGCCAAAGAGTCAAGTGCAAAAAGATTTCATAGAAAAGAGGGAAGCTTTTCTAGAAATAAAGTTGGGAAATTTCATCCCACTCAAAAAGATTGGTTGTGCAATAGATGTAATATTTTTTATAGACCAAAGCAACCATTCTCTTCCCAGGTGCCAAAATATAAAAATAATTTTCAAAACCCGGCGCCAAAAATATTTTCTAATGTGAGTTATGATTATCGTGTCTCTAATGGTTACAAATCGCCTCATCTTAATTCAATAAGATCAAGGTGGGTTTGGTTACCAAAAATTACTAACTGTAAAGGACCCAAGCAAGTATGGGTACCTAAAGTTAATTAATCTTTTTTGCAGGATGTTTGGTACATCGATAGTGGTTGCTCACGCCACATGACTAGAAATAAATCATATCTAGTGAATTTCAAAGAAATCGATGGACCAAAAGTTATATTCGGAGGAAATCAAAATTATGGAATTACAAAAGGAGTTGGCACGATCAAGAAAAATGGTTTGAAGATTGAAGATGTCTCTTTCGTTGAAGGATTAAAATTTAATTTGTTGAGCACTAGTCAATTTTGTGATAAAGGCTATCTTGTAGAATTTTCTAAAGATAATTGCCTAATCAAAAATGAGCTCACAAATGAGATTATTTTATCTGGAAAACGGCGAAAGAATATGTATATTGTTCATTGGAGCACAAGCAAAGATTTAGTGTGCTTAATGGCCAGAAATTCGAATGAAGCTAATTGGGAATGGCACAGAAAGCTCAACCACTTAAACTTCAAGACCATCAATCAGCTTGCAAAGAAGAATCTAGTAGAAGGCTTGCCAAATATTATCTTCAAGAAGGACCAAGTGTGATGCATGTCAACGTGGAAAGCAAATCAAATCATCATTCAAATCAAAGACACACGAGTCAACATCAATACCGCTAAGCTTACTACATATGGACTTATTTGGACCAGTTGATCCAATAAGTGTAAGTGGTAAGAAATATACTCTCGTTGTTGTTGATGATTTTTCTAGGTACACTTGGACCGTGTTTATCAAGAAGAAAAATGAAGTTGAGCAAGTTCTACCGAAGCTGTTGAAACAACTACAAAATGAGAAAGAATTGCAAATATCAAAAATAGGAACGGATCGCGGAACCGAGTTCGTGAATGGAGTTATACAAGCTTTTTGCAATTCACATTGAATTTCTCATCAATTATCTGCCGCAAGAACACCGCAACAAAACAGTGTTGCCGAAAGAAGAAACCGGACGCTCAAAGAAGCCGCACGAGTGATGATTAGTGCTGCCGGTCTCCCGAAACGATATTGGGCGGAAGCTATCAACACTGCTTGTTACACGCAAAATCGAAGCATGATCCATAAGCAGTACAAGAAGATGCCATATGAGCTATATAAAGGGAGAAAACCAAATATTGGTTATTTTCATATTTTTGGATGCAAATGTTTTATTCATATTAATGATAAATTGCATCTAAAAGCTTTTGATGAGCGTGCAGATGAAGGAATTTTTCTAGGATATTCAGCTACCAGCAAGGCGTTCAGAATTTTGAATAAAAGATCAATGGTGGTTGAAGAATCCATACACGTGGTATTTGATGAAAAATCACAGATCAAAAATGATGCACTGGACGAAGAAATTGCTCAAAATGGTAACAAGTGTCATATTGATTTTTGTGATACTAATGATACGTGTGAAGATGATGTTTAGCAGGGAATGGATGAGTTGGAAATTAATTCTCTAGAAAATCCCATCCCTCATCTAGAAGAAGTTGGAAATTCTTTTAATAATAATTTTGGGAGTGATGCCTCACGTGGGAATGAGGATGCAGTACGGGTTCCAATGTGTGATCAAGTTACTGGTGAAGTTGGTGGTCAATTACAAAATGAATTAAATGTGGAAATTCGAACCAACTCTCCCAGTACACAACAAATGGATCCACCCAG